TAAAAAGTTCTACCAGAAAGTTCAACAGATCATATGCTATTACAAGAACAAAATTATTCTGATTTTGTTTAGGATAAAACATTTTCCCATATTTAACAAGTACAGTATAACATTCTGACATTAAGTATAATAATTTAATTTTCTTTTGATTAATTGTTAGCATGATTTAGGGATTATGAAATTTTTAAAAAAATATATAAACAATATATAATGAGCAATTATTTATTGTAACATCGTCACAATGCCGAGCTGCAATTTTTAATCATATTTTTAGTTTAATTTAAAATATATGCTCTCCACTTCAAATTAGTAGTGGCTGGCTGCTATGGTGTTATTATCATACTTTTTCTTTAACAATAGAATCATGCAGTTATCTATTAACTCCTTTCAGGGGAAGAGTTTTGAAGTGAAATAACGTGAGTTTTTATCAGAAGTTCATATATAGTTAATTGGGACCTCCTGCAAATAAGGTTTCCATAACTGGTCTCTGATTTCATCTATCTAACTCCATTTTCGAGATTAAGGAAAGATTGGCTGACAGACAGATGATAATGAAAATTTATCGGTCTACAATTTTTTTCAAATTGCAGCCCAATAAAATAAATATATACAATATATAATAATATATAAACTTATCTAGTGATTGTATTAAAACATTATATCATATAAGCAGATATATTAAATAATTTGATGTAAAAACTATTACTATAAAGCAGTGTTTTGAGTTTGTATGATATAAGAAATTGGAGTGTTATTTGTATTAATGATCCAAAAATTTGAGTACTTGTGTATAGTTCCTTGCCTCAAATACTGTAGTTTAAATCACCAACACACAACCTTACCTTCAAAATAATCCCCTCGGGCAATGATACACTTTTACCAGAACTCGTATGGCTTTTGGAAGAATTTTGTAAGCCTTCTTTTGTAACCATCCATAATGTCCCATGATGCTGCTTTTACCTGATTTGATGACTCAAAATCAGATAATATAAATTTAATTCAAACAAGCTTTTCTTAAAGTGTAAACTTAAAAACTGTAATGTTTTCAGACTATACCAAGGGATACCAACTGTATGGAATTTCAGTTATTTTTTAAAAATTGTTTGGAAAACAAAAACTGTTCAGAAATAGTCTGAAAATGAATGAAGAGTTGTGTTTGTTTTATTAATGTGTCCCTTTTTCCTCACAAGAAGGTGGCACCAAGATCATAATCCAAATTATTTTTGGATTATCTGCTGCTTCTTAAACATCAAACTCATCATTGTGATTAAAAAAAATTCCAGCAGAATCGCAGCAGAGGGAAAGTTATGATGCAGGTATTTTAAGATTTTCATGGTATTTTCCATTCAGGATTTATTCCTGAGGGCAGAACAGTGAATAAGGAGTATTATCTGGGCATTTTATGTTGTCTGCATAAGTCCATCCATCATAAATGGCCCAAGTGTCACAAAGTGGACAATGATACGGAACCTTTCCATGACAACATGCCCACACAGCAGTCCATAATGGTCACAGAGTTTCTTGCCAGAAATGGTATTAATATGCTTCCACATCTCAATTTAGCTCCTTGTGATTTTTACTTCTTTTCACTAATGAAAACAACTTCAGGGACACCATTTTGAATCATCAAATGAGGTAAAAGCAACATTATAGGAGGAATTATGGGTGCTTGCAAAAGACAGCTTACAGCAATGCATCCAGAAGCTTTATGAGTACTGGCAAAAGTGTATTGTCACCCAAAGGGATTATTCTGAAGATGGTTGTGTATCAATGCTTATTACATCATTTCTGAAGGGAAAAGTTGATGTAAACTTAAAAGTATTTAATTAAAATTATTATTTGAAGATTTGATATTGCAATATCTATATAATATCTATTTTATCATATATCTATTACATCTCTGGATTTATATTTTAAGATTATGTCATTTTAATTGCAATTCAAGATATTAAAAAATATAACAATTTTAAGACTTGAAATATAAGAAAAATAACAATTTTAGATTTACTTATAATTGTCTTACAGATAATGTGGCTAAATGAGATAAAATACATAACATTCTAATCTAATAAATATAGAATAAATTTACATTTAACAAATTTATGAAATGTATGATGGAACTTGAGTTGCCAAATTTCTATGACTGCACATTTAAAAATGATTAATGCTATTACTCTCTAACTTTCACTCCACCACATCCCATCCCAAAAATGTAAAATTGAATGATTTTTCAGTTAATAACTAAACAATCTGTTTATATTTTTTTAGATTTTGATTAAATTATAGTATACTTTTCATATTGACTATAAATATTTACAAATTTTAGTTTACTGTAATTTAGAATTTAAAATATTTAATGGTAAACAATAGCTTTCTATGGAGATTGAATTGGATTGATGGGATAAGGCAACATGGGTAATACATGGGCAATTTGCCAATGTATTGTGGTGCCTTCCAGAAGGACTTTCTTCAGGAAGCTGGCTCCTATTTAGGTGTTAATCATATGAGGAAAACCCAGGAAACTCCATGTGACCAGCCTTTTGGTGAGGCATAAAGCTGGTACCAACTACCAGTATTCACTGGTTTATCTACTCAACCATTGGTCCATGGGGAAGGATAAGCATACACCTGTGCAGAGATCTATCATTGACATTACAGAATACAGGCATTAAAAAATGAAAAGACAAATCACATTCATTTTTTTTTTTCAATAAAATACATGGATAGTTTAGCTAAAATAAAGGGTTTTCCTTTTAAATACAGAAAATCTGGCAACTTTAATTATTCAAGTCTACAGCAAATTTCAAAGATGTAAACAGATTATTTTTTCCAGTTTGAAATGAATTCTATTGCAGTTTTCCAGATCTCCCTTACTAATCATGAATAAATGTCTACACAAATTTAAGAAAAAAATCAAAAAAGAAACAAAATAGAAAAGAGTATCAGATCATAAGAAAAGAAAAAGAAAGACTGAAACACAGTCAAAAAGACTTGGGTTAGGCAATTAGGATCTATTTGCAATGTATTTTTTTATTTCATTTATATTTATTCATTTTAATATTTTTTATTGAAAAATTATTTATTTCTATTGAATACAGAAACTGATTTTGTTAAATTAAGTATTTCATAAAACAAACAAAGGATTACATGTTACAACGTTTATACTTCATATATCTACCTACATCTAAGGAAATTATAAATGAAACTTGCAAAATGAAAAATTGCAGCAAATATTGTTATCTTTTCATTAATAATTTTGAATGATAATCTGATTTTATTTTTCAAATTTATTGTTGAAGTGTACTTTAATTTCCAAATGTTTCAGCTAATTGCTTCAACAGGTATTAAAAATTAAGACACAATTCAATAATAAAACATCTTTCAACTTAATTCTGTTTTTATATTTCTGAAATTAGATATTCCTCAATGCTGGTTTAAATTCTTAAAATATGCATGAAATCATTACTTTTAGAATGATTGTCTGTACTTTTCTTTCTTTTTTCCTTTTTATGTATCACATTGAGAAAATATACTGACATATGGATAGAAAAGCAGAAGGTTATACAGTGGGTGATCAGTTAACGAACATAATCTGTTCCAAGAATTTGTTTGCTATCCGAATTGTTTGTTAACCGATTATTGATTTACCATAGGTTTTAATGGGAATTTAATTAATTCGTTCTGGAGACCCCAAAAAATAAAAAAAAAATATATACTTTCTTACTATGTTTATTTATATGTAATAACAAAAATACATACATACACAGTCTTGCATTTTTATTAGTCATGTTTTTCCATTTGAAATGGGTTAAAGAATCTGTCTAATGTCGATTGCTTTTCTCTCTTCTTCAGGATTTTTCGTAAGTAATTAATAGGATTGTTTGTCAACCTGGTTTGGATATCATTCTAAGACCGTTGTTCTGACATCCTCCCACTTCTTCAAAGGATCTTTAATAACAGATATTGGCATTAATCCTCTTTTCAGAAGAAAACATATCTCACCGAGTTTCTTGGTGTTTTTCATTCAAGAGTTCTTGCCATTCTTCTGTCGTCAGATCATTTCAGGTTCCATTATGATCTTTTCGATGTTCTTTATTTCTCAGATGTGATTTTTGTTACTACTTTAGCTGCTTGAGTCTTCTTGATTATACAGTATTTTTCTTAAATAAGATTGAACTGCGGCCTACTGTAGACCTGTTCACGCCATACTACCCAGCAACATTAGGCATCTTCTGCAGACTCTCTACCTTTGCTATTATACTCTCACCTTTCGTAAAGACGCAAAACTTAACGAGTGCCTATCCGACAGTCTCGCGAATACATATAAAAATTGTTTTGTCAGAAAAATAAAAGGCTGGAGTTACAAGGGAGAGTTTCAAAGTTCGGAGGAATACTATCCGATCAGTATATACCAGCTTGAGTGTTGATGTCAACGTCTCCCACACTCCGAAAAGTTTCGAATTGTTGCCTGAAGACAAGGGAAGACCAATCGGTATTCATTATTTTACATTGCTTCTTGTGTTTGTTCTATGGGGTGTTCGTTGTCCGAACATAAAAATCTTTTGCGAAAGTGATTGTTATCCGATCTGTTCGTTAACCGATCACCCACTGTATTTAGGAGTAAACTGAGAAAACCTGAAAGTACTAGGGAGTGTATAAATTGTATTTTATGCTCCAAAATAAAGCAGAAACTAATTTATTTGTAAATATTTAGCTTTTTGAATTGAAAATACAATATTTATTTGAATGGATACTTTTAGTTAAAATCATAATTAATTCATCTGACAATAGGTGTGATGCATATTCTATTGAAAAGAGCCAGAATATTCTATTGAAAAATATCAGCACATTTGAAAATATAAACTAAATATTATTAAAATAATACAATGATTTTTTTTTACAAATGTTATCACATTTACATAAGAAAAAACTTCAGCATTTCAAATTATGTATTCCTACTTCTTATAATCTACAACCTATTCATAAAAATTTCAACGTACCTGCCATGATGATAATGGTGGTTGTGAAAATATTGGAAACTGAGTTTTTGAAAACTGTTGATTGTTGTCACATTTAATTTGTTTTGCTTTCCTTTTTGGTTTAGGATGAATTAACAATAATGGTGTACTTTTGCTTGTTTCTCCACTTTCACTTTCAATTTCTCCCATTTGTACAAGTTTTATTGTTGTTAATGATTTATCTAAATTATTAGAATCAGATTGTGTAATATTTTCAACTGCTTCCATAATAGCTTGTTTATGAGCTTCACTTAATCTTTCTTGTAACTTTTGAGAACTCCATTTTCGATTCTTTTCCACTTTTTCATTAATTGCTTTTTTCACATAAGTCTGTATAAATGGAAGAGGTAATTCAAATTTAGATTGCAAATCTTTATGAATTGTTGAACTAGTTTCTTTACCATGTTCAAGAGCATATTTACTGATTATTTCAATGGCTAATGATTCAGATAAAAGGATTCGGCCTGTTTTTACCATAATGCCATTTTCTAAACGCCCAAAGTATTTGGTAAGATCTGTAATATCTGAAACAAAATTCAATTATTAATTCCAAATATTCAAATTTAATCAGGTCTGAAAATTTCTTAGATATAAAATTTATAAAAAAATTAACATATGATATGTATTGATATAACTAAAAGCAATTGCTTAGCTATTAAGTTGATTTACTTGTATAGGCTAACCATAATTTCTTGATACTAAAATGTGTATGAATTTCTTGATAAACACAGCATCTCTTATTAAAATGTTGTCAAGAAATATAGATGGGCAATTTNGACAATATCTAACTAATATGCTCTGACATGAAGATATTTTTATCATATTTTGCTGAAAATAATGCATATTATTTTGTAAATATATATCACATTTATGTGCATTAATAAGACAAGATAAAATTCTTTTATTATGGTAGATAAGAATAAATTAAAATTCCATAATATAAAATTTTCATAATTAGCCATATAATTCATCATATAATACACTAAAATATTTAAAGGTGACTATGAAAATTCAGCTTAAACTACATTAAGAATTATGAAGTAATTCAGTATGCAAAAATTTTAATTTATGCTAAGATTTGATGTTCCAAGTGATTCAATATTAAGAAATTCAATATTCAATTCATTCAATATTCATATTCATTCAATATTAAGAAATTTTATCAGTTAATAATGTAATGAAATTTCAGCTATACAATTAACATTCAGGGTGATCTCACTGATCTCATTCAGTATTTACTTTATTACTAAGAGCTTAAGAAATTGTATTTATGCTAAAGCTTAACAATTTCAAGAATATGCTGTTTTTAAAAGAAAATATACAAAAACAAAATTCAAAGGATGACATATATAGTTTTTACAAAATTTATATATGAAAAAAATTGGTAAAAACATAATAGAAACTTTATAACCAACTAATGTACATTTTATTTCATGTTTATATTATCTAAAATGTTTTATTCTTCAAATATATTGATAAATTTTGTTAACAGAAACAACAATCAAAGTTGTGCATGTGAATGTTTTATAGAAACAATTCATAGAAACAATTTCAATAGAAACAATAGAAACAATTCATAGAAACAGTTCAATAGAAACAAATATATGATATACATACAGACATACAGATATGTATGTATATCATACACACCTGTATGATATACATACAGACATACAGATAGTTAATTACGGCTAACCATAATTTCTTGATACTAAAATGTGTATGAATTTCTTGATAAACACAGCATCTCTTATTAAAATGTTGTCAAGAAATATAGATGGGCAATTTTACTTTATAATTAGCACTCCTTTCATGGCTTCAATATTTGATTTTAACTTCTCATAAGTGAAAATATTCTTTCTATAAAAGCTATGGTTCCTGAAAAACAAAGGACTAATTTTATCAAATTAATTAATTAATTTTCAAATTCAAGGTAGAGTGACCAGACCCTACCTCGAATTTGATCCCTATCCTGTTTCTATGGAACATATCCCACTTTTCTGCATTTTGTCCCGGTGTCCTGATAAAGGTTGCAGAGAGATTTAAATGTCTTATACTTCTGTATTTTTATAATTATAGTATATAGCAATCAGTGTATTTCACATGATTTTATTTTATGATTTTCAGTATATTCATGTCTTTGCAAAATCAGCTGTGGCAACTACACCTTTATAACCTTAAAATGGTTTGAGGTTACAGTTAGTATGAAAATTAGTATTGATTACAGTGTTTAAAGTTATTGTTTGTGCTACAACACCAAGTACTGTACAGTACATATAATGATTTTTATTGTTTTAATTTATCTTAGCTTTATTATTTATACTCCAGAGAATATATTAATAGAAGTAAAGTAACAACAGTAAGTGCCATTCATTGTGATCACCAATTCAAAATGGTAAAATCCACTGCATTTTAGTTGTTTATTAAATTATACTTTTGGATATTAGATTTACATAAATTTCAGATATATTTCTGTCATTTTGAGGCAGGCTGTGATGATATATATTTTGTAGTGTGAATTAAAGACATGAAAATAAATGAATATTTTAAATAATTATATAACATTTTATATAATCTAAATTTCTCAGATTTTCTAGTATTAGTTAATTTCACTTTAGTTAAATATTTGTTAAAATGCAATTAACTTTTTATGTGTTGTTTTATTTTTTTTAATAATTTTTAATTTTATATAATTGTTTAATGAAACAATGTTTCATTAAAAAATTACATTATTAAACAAACTATTATAATTACCACAAAATGATGTTTTCTTGTCATAATTATTATTTTCCCAAAAGTTTCCAAAAAAACAGTTTTAGTGTCTCATTTTCATGTTTTAAATTTATGGTCACTCTAATTCAAGATCTTTTTTATGCATTTCATTAAATATTTTGACCCATTTGTCATTTATGTCAGCTATGTTGATTTTTTCTTCATTTAATTTCTTCAAGTGTTTGATTTTTATTGTCTTTATTAGTACCCATCACTTGAATTGCAGAATTTCATCTATTTCTGTTTGTGTAATATATATATAAACTAAAGAGCTAAGATTTTTGAATTTTCAAAAAATGGAACAAAAGTGAAAAGTTTACTAAAACGACAGGATGACAGAGACAGAACAAATAATGGTATTATCCTGTTCAAACTGGTACTTATGGTCACAGTCTACAATTGTGTGTCATTTGAGGATGGACTTGGTCACCCAAAAGTACTTGAGAAGAATGTATTAAAGTGAACTCTAATACAGATGATTATTGTTACTGTTATAAACAGTGCTCTTTTTTTCTAAAAAAATTACTGCTGATATACATATGTGGCAAATAGTATTGTTTTTACTGAGCAACTGCCAGTAGTACCTGCCAGCTACGTGAAAAAGTATCTCTACCTACGGATAAAGATACTTTTTCATGCCATCTGCTGGCAAGGCATACCAGTGTGTTTTGGATGAAGAGGACCCTAGTTATAATTAATAGCATTTCTTTATATAAAATAATAATTTATCCAAATTTATTGTATGATGTTCAATTAAATATCAATTATATCAAAATCATATAATTTAGCAACTTTTAATTATTTTATAACACAGAGAAATATCTTGTTGAAACCTGTGTTTCCTAAATGTTATTCAAATGTATTATTATATATACATATCATTATACAATTTAAAGGAAATTTGTATTCTGATTAAAAGCATTATATTTAAGTCCTCATATATATTTATAAAAATATGACAATATCTAACTAATATGCTCTGACATGAAGATATTTTTATCATATTTTGCTGTAAATAATGCATATTATTTTGTAAATATATATCACATTTATGTGCATTAATAAGACAAGATAAAATTCTTTTATTATGGTAGATAAGAATAAATTAAAATTCCATAATATAAAATTTTCATAATTAGCCATATAATTCATCATATAATACACTAAAATATTTNAAATAATATGTAGCCCAAAATGTAGCCAATGCACCAAATGATATTTTTTACGCCAAACTAAAACAAGGCACATTTGGCATAAAGTTGCCAAATCTTGCAACACTGAAAGGAATATTAAAAAAACTAGAGTTGGTATTCAAAGACCTAAATTCAAGGAAAGGAGAGAAAGGTCAAAAAATAAAGAAGTGAGAAAGGTTAAATAGACCTTCTGTTACTTAAATATTGATTTTTAATTTTCCAACCTTTCTCAATTCTTTTTATTTTTTTGCCTTTCTCTTCTTTCCCCGAATTTGGGGCTATAATCCTTTGAGTCACGACTTCAGCTTTATTTAGTATTCCTTCCACATTCACACAATTCAAGTATTTGAAAATATTTCCTTTCTATTAAAAAATAAAATATGTATAAAGGTTTACGGTTTTGTGAGACTTCTTTTTTGAGGTTTAATTCGTTGAAATAAATAAATAAATAAATTTGTCAGTTTTGTTTACACATTTATTGGGCTGCATTGGAACTTGCCGTGGGCTGCATAAAACCTATGGGCCATGGGTTTTATGCGGCCCTGCATTAAACTGTTTGGACACCCCTCCATTAAATGTTTAAAAGGCAGAGATTTTCTAGATAAGGCTGACAAATGCTTTTAAAGGCAGATTCTCACCCACAACGTAGAGATGGTTGGTAATTGTAATATTGCCTTTTCAGATAATGCATTTTGTGTAATATATATTGTTTGTCTTTATGTGTATACTGCATATTCCTACAGTATATACGTTACCATGTGGTTTTGTATAATACACAGTAACCATATAATCAACATTAAAGATATATTAAATTTAATTTTTTCTTATAATTACATATAAATATATATGTTTATCATATATATGATAAACATATATATTTATATGTAATTATAAGAAAAAATTAAATTTAATATATCTTTAATGTTGATTATATGGTTACTGTGTATTATACAAAACCACATGGTAACATATATACTGTAGGAATATGCAGTATACACATAAAGACAAACAATATATATTACACAAAATGCATTATCTGAAAAGGCAATATTACAATTACCAACCATCTCTACGTTGTGGGTGAGAATCTGCCTTTAAAAGCATTTGTCAGCCTTATCTAGAAAATCTCTGCCTTTTAAACATTTAATGGAGGGGTGTCCAAACAGTTTAATGCAGGGCCGCATAAAACCCATGGCCCATAGGTTTTATGCAGCCCACGGCAAGTTCCAATGCAGCCCAATAAATGTGTAAACAAAACTGACAAATTTATTTATTTATTTATTTCAACGAATTAAACCTCAAAAAAGAAGTCTCACAAAACCGTAAACCTTTATACATATTTTATTTTTTAATAGAAAGGAAATATTTTCAAATACTTGAATTGTGTGAATTAGGAAGGAATACTAAATAAAGCTGAAGTCGTGACTCAAAGGATTATAGCCCCAAATTCGGGAAAAGAAGAGAAAGGCAAAAAAATAAAAAGAATTGAGAAAGGTTGGAAAATTAAAAATCAATATTTAAGTAACAGAAGGTCTATTTAACCTTTCTCACTTCTTTATTTTTTGACCTTTCTCTCCTTTCCTTGAATTTAGGTCTTTGAATACCAACTCTAGTTTTTTTAATATTCCTTTCAGTGTTGCAAGATTTGGCAACTTTATGCCAAATGTGCCTTGTTTTAGTTTGGCGTAAAAAATATCATTTGGTGCATTGGCTACATTTTGGGCTACATATTATTTATAAATATATTTGTTGAATAAAAATGCACTTTAAAATGGTATTTTGTTGTTTTTTTATTAATTAAAGACCCAAATAAAACAAATATTTGTGTTTTTCAAATAAATTTTTGTTATTTGTCTCCTTTATAATAAATAAATTTATCTATTTCTAAGTAAAAATTAAAAGTGTCTGTAGAAGTAATTTTTTTAAATATCCTTTTTCATGATAAAGTTTTAATACTTATTACTATAATCCTTAAATATACAAGTATATTTAAGGATTGTTGTGGTCCAAGTTTATTGTGGCCCAGAACTCCTTCACTTCTTCCAATGTGGCCCAAAGAAACAGAAAGGTTGGATACCCGATTTAATGCATTATCTTTGTAAACATGAATTTACAACTGATACTAAAAATTTCACTTTTGCTTGTATGGCAGTTCTTTTATAAATCATCCATTCTCCAAAAATAACATTTTGAATTCAACATTGCTGCACACATATAAGAATTTCAATGGAAGTTACTTTGAAAGCTTTTGTAAATCTGTCACATGTTCTAGTTTTTCCTACCTATTAAGTCAATCTCATTCAATATTAGTAAGCGTGCAACATATTGTGTTTTTCCTCATTTTCACAATTAAACTACAGAATGACAAAGCTTTTCAACTGACCAAATTACACAACTTATATCAGGAAGCCTTAAAAATCAAATTTATTACTAAATAAGCCTATATCCTATGCAAATATCAAATTTCAGAAGATAATCTCTCATTATTACTTCATTTTTTACATTTAATAATATTAATAAGTCGTATAAACACGTCTTCATTTGTTTATAATTTCGAAAAATAACGAAACTGAAACCTACATACAACAAGACAACTTTAAGGAATGTCCTTATACGTGCCCTTACCAACGAATTCCTTTCCGTGTATTTTCCAAAATCTTCTAACTCTCTCCGGCATTTTTGTTAAACTCGAAGTTTTCCCCTGTTCAACTTTTTCTTTTAATAGTTTCAATATGTGTTTATAAATATTATCATTGATCGGAGGTTTAAATCGATCTCTCAACTTAACAACTTTTTCCTTAACAATAGCGTCTAATACCTGGGCCATGTTTACGTTCACTTAAGCGTGTACGCGTTCATATTTTCAACTTTTATTTAAAATTTTTATTATTATTATCTCGTATATATTTATATTAATAGTATCATTTGGTAAATTAATAAAATGCTTTTTTTAAAATGTTAAATATTTTGTCTAGATAATAATTAAATTTTTCTACGTGATATTTAAATTTCCCTACCAGAAAGGGAATAATCTCTAAACTACTTATATTTTCCTCTGTCGAGAGTAGTGTTGCCAACTCTTAATCCCAGCTGTGCCGGAGATATAACAAAAAAATTAATAATAATAATTTCTCTCCCGTGGTCACCACCTGGTCGTGGTGGGAGAGCCCAGTAATTTTACTGATCCATAGGGCAATGCAAGCTGGAGCACAAGCTCCTGGTAGGGACACCCATGCCAGTAAGGTCTATGGGGAGAAATGAAGCTAACAGTGACCACATCCACATTCTGTGGAGATTTTTTCATGGTAGTAACCAGATCAAAGTATGATACCGGCTCGGACGTCGCCCGGGTTAACAAGGTCCGCGTTCGTGGGTTAGGCAGAGGCTCAAGTTCGAAAAATAGGCCACAGTCTCCCTTGGTTACCGGTGGCGAAAGCAGCGCCGGCCCAAGCATGGCTACTGCAATGCCCTCAACAGATGTTAGGAATCAACCTAGCCTTGGTGTTTCTATGGCAATGCATCCACAGACCACAAAGGCTGGAAAACCACGCCAACGGATGAAATGGACAACAGAAATGAACGAGTTTATCATCCGTACTTACTACACCATCACAAAACTCGAAACAAACATGACAGCATACAGATAGCTATTACGTTATAGATTCACACAACAATATCCTCACCTCACTGTCACCGAACAAAGGGTTGTCGATCAAAAAAGAACAATTGTACACAACCTTATCCCACAAACAACACTTGAACTTATCAAACAACAAGTTGCTGATCAAATACATCAACAGACAGAAACATTTAACATTATTAATTATGAAGATCACGTAACCTGTCAGGATAATCCAGCAACAAGCATTGATAATAGCACACATACAACTATCACTAATGACACTACAGGCACTTCTTCATCCATCACTGATAACGTAGACGTAGAATTATTTAATACATTCTCACTTATATTTCAGGAAACACTCACTAAATATACAGGTACAGATCCCACACAAAGACAACGAATACCGAAAATCAACACATCAAAGGTAGTAGGGAAAACACTAAATTATGTAAACACTCACTTATTACCACACTACATCCATTTAATTTCTACACTCTCAGACATTCATACATTAGTTTATGCTGGGGCAGTCACAGTAGTGACACAGCATGGACTGAAAATACAATCACAGACAAACACACACAAAACACAACTCTATCACAAGCCTGCCTGGCAGAGAAGAATAGAAACACAAATAAATGACATTAGACAGCAATTAGGCAGGCTGACACAATACACTATAAACAACATAACACCTAAATTAAAGAAACAACTCAAAAACATTTTCAAGAAAATCAAAACATACACAAAACATGAACATCACAACACACACATTACAGAATACATAGATACACTAAAACAAAAACTCGCAGCCAAAGCACGTAGACTCAAATGATACAAAACATGTACACTACGAAAACAACAAAATAAATTATTCACAAACAATGAAAAACTTTTCTACAGACAAATCAGTACCAAAACAAATACTGATACACAGCACAGTGGCACACCAACAGAAGAAGAACTCACAACTTATTGGTCTTCTCTTTGGTCCAATGCTGTTACACACAATGCTCATACAGGCTGTATTGAGGAAGAGAACAGAAACTTGCACAACATACCAACTATGCCCTGTGCTGAAATAAACATACACGACATTCGCTATGCTGTCTTAACAAAACACACAACTGGAAGACACCTGGTGTAGACAACATTCACAATTTCTGGTACAAAAAGTTTACATCACTGCACCAGGAACTAGCTAAACATCTAACACACATCATCATCAATCCACAAGACATGCCAAAATTTCTTACTCAGGGCATCACCTACATGAAACCTAAAAACAACAAAACCACAGACCCCACACAATACAGACCAATTACATGTTTTCCAACACTCTACAAATTATTGACATCCTGTATCATAAACAAAATATACAAACATGTTGAAGAACACGACATTCTTACAGAACAACAAAAAGGTTGCCGTAGAAATCACAGGGGATGCAAAGAACAGTTACTCATAGATTCAGGCATTCTATGGCAAGCACACAAACAACACAGAAACATACACATGGCATATATAGACTACAGAAAAGCATTCGACAGTGTTCCGCACAGTTGGCTGCTACATATTCTACACGTGTACAAAATACATCTATCACTTATTGCATTCTTCGAAAACACTATGCAGTACTGGAGAACAACACTGCATCTCAGGGTTAGTAACACTTCCATACAAACAAACGAAATATTCATTAGGCAAGGAATTTTTCAAGGAAATTCCTTGAGTCCTCTCTGGCTCTGCTTAGCCCTGAACTCTTTATCCAACATTTTAAACAACACGCAATATGCTACAATATCAGACACGAAAAAACAACACAGTTTACGCTGTCACATCTCATGTACATGGACGACATAAAATTTTATGCATCCACACAGAAACAACTTCATCAACTCCTACAAATCACAAATTCATACACTAAGGACATACAAATGGAGTTTGGCCTAGACAGATGTAAAACACTTCACATAGAAAAAAAAATTTGAAGAAAGAAGAGTTTGCACTTGGAAATGGAGACGTTATTGAATTCATGGAAGAGGGTGAGTTCTACAAGTATTTAGGATTCCAACAGGCCAAACTAACAGAACATACACAAATAAAGCAAAGATTAATTAAAGAATACTAAAGTAGGTTAAACGCTATCGTCAGAACATAGTTAAATGCAAAATACAGTTAAAGCAACGAACACATATGTCATCCCAGTTCTCACATACTCGTTTGGAGTTATACATTGGACTCGCACAGATCTCGAGCAACTCCAAAGGAAAACAAGAACAACACTTACTAAGCATAAACATCATCATCCTAAATCCGCCACAGAAAGATTAACCCTTCCACGTAAAGATGGCGGACGTGGCCTGATTGACATAGT